TCTTTTTGCTTTCTGCTTCCCTCGTTCACTTTTTGTTGGAGGGCTGTAAGCAAGCGGCCAAAGCATGCTTACTTTCTGAATGTCTACGGATGTATCTAGAAGTTATGTACATGTGGGAAATCAAGCTACAAAAACTGGGACACCAAAAATCACATTGCAAGGAACTGAAAAGGTGAAAAAATGACACACCAAGCACACTGGTTTGGATGTTACTATTAGAGAAACCCCACCTAGGGAAAGAAAAGAAAAAAAGAATGTGGAACACGCGGTTATTTGTGTCCCCATGTGTCTGAATGCGCCATAACATTCTAGACACGAGTCATGGAATGCAGATATCAACATGCCACTATGAAAAATTTTAGGCCGGAATGGCTGCAAACCAATGAAATTTAATTCAAAGAAAAAAAAAACTGAATTTTGGACCTAGATAACGCAGACTCTGTATGTGGGATGATTAGAGAGGTTTTATAGACTTTGGAGAAGGGCTCTTTTGCAGGGTGGTGGTTGTGAAGGATTAGCACTAGGGTTAAGGGAAGGTGACTCCACTCCCAGTGTTCTAAGAAGAAAACTCCTTTCCTGAAAAAGAAAGAAAAGAAAACAGATGAGAGATAGTTCATAAAATGCATAGTTGCGTACGCATTACAAATACTAATTCTCAGAATAAAAGCATTTTTGTTGATCACACTTCCATTTAATATTTGCTCAAGAGGCAAAAATCTAGAGAACAAAGCTCAGCATGAAACAGGTTTAAGCTAAGTTTTTAAATTTACTACGGCAGCTTGGCATCATCAAACATACTTCACATGTAGGGATAATAAAGCATCTAGCGGAGAAAGTAGTTCAGCTATCAAAACTCATTTACTACTGATACGATATTCTTTGACCAAGAGGCACTCTGATATTCAGTGTTCTGTTCTCCATCTAGAATTTGGTTTAATTTCCTAATCAGTGTACCAAAGAAGTTTTAATAATATTTATGGGTAGCCTTGTCTGATATTCTCTAATTCTAGATGCAAAGAGAAATCCAGGGATTTACCTAGCAGAGTCCTGCCATGTCTACATAGCTTGATTTGATCAACTTAATTCACGTTCTCAAACCTAGAATATCTCCATTTGCTAATCTTTCCTAGTTTGACAACCATTATCAACCTGAACCACTTCAAGAAAAGAACTAGAGTATTTTTAGATAGGAACTAAGTTTTAGCTGCAAATTCTTGACCTACAGAAAATTTATAGCGTCTTTTTGTTAGACCTTAAGTGCAATCATGTTACTATTAAATTATAACTTCACTTGCACGAGGGGCCAATTAGTTGATCTAAGACTAAGATCATATGAAACCACAAAGTCCCTATCTATACACTGTTGCACCAACTCATGGCTTTTATAATCCATCAATTCAGATTCCTATTGACAGTTTTATCAATAGTGAGCACGAAGATCAACAACTAAGTTTGATAATATATAGAGATAGAGATAGATATTCACTTAATTGCTAAATTCTAATTAAGATCTGACTATTTATGGATTTGATTCATTTGAACTTGTTAAGAACTGTGGTATGCTTCTATGATATGATTGTATGTAGTATCAGGGTTTTGATAGAAACCACATTTCATAGTCACTCATAGTGGAAGGCTAAGGCCAAAGACACCTGACTGGCAGCTTTCTTAAACTCCTGATAAGCTCTCAAGTGTTTGCCGAGGGTTTTACAACCACTATTTATTACTGAATCTGCTTTTTCTTTGATATATAAACAATCACTTGACTTGTTTTATTTTATTATTGCAGTAAAACAAAATGCAAAGATAACTTACACTTTCAGAGAATTGTGGGCTAGGAATTCCTGCTGCCAAGGATCTAAAAAGTGGAATTACATTCATGGGGGAGCTAAATTCTGAGCTTGAAAATGAAGAGGCAATGGTATCATTCTTTCGTTCATTGCAACACTTGAAGGCCTCTGCTGCAGTAGAACATTGAATATTCTTAGCAGCATATCAGGAGAAAAACTAATGGCCTCTGTAACCAAAGTGAGAACTTATTCCTTACCTCGCTCCAGGGTTTTCTTGGGAATTTCTTTCTCAGATTCACCAAAATCATTTTGCTCTCCAGTGCAAGTTGACCCAGATTCAAATTTAGCTTCCTGATGATGAGTCCCTATCTCAGATTGACTTTGACCTATTTTCTCCTCTGCTGTTTGGGATACTAGTGTTGATCCAGTACTGTATTCTGAACTGCCAGGAGACTCATGGAGACTAGGTTGTCTGCGAACAGTGACGTTGATAAGGCCACAAATAATCAGTAGCTTAAATCCCAAAATTATAGCATGCAATTTGTGTTACCTCCATTGGCTGCCATCATTGCTACTCCTTAAATCCTCCACTGACTCTTTAATGTTTTCCACTTGAAATTCAATATCCGGAGTTATATATTTGGGTATGTCATTTCCTTTGCTTCGACTGAGGAAATCTTGGAGAATCTGATTCATATTTAATAGACATCTCAGAAGAAGAAACTATTATACGAATGAATATATCAGACATCTTACATGAAAACTATATGCAGGGTGCTCAAGAATTAATGTGTTGAGAAATTTTCAAGTTCTGGAGCATGATGTTAGCAGCAATACATAATCGAGGAGTATCCTTTTTTTATGCTTAAAATCTCCTTGCCAGGTCTAATAATAAAAATAGATTTTATTTGTTTGGTTGAATGTGACATAGAATAATAATTCATTCCCTTTATATTTACTTGGTTATTTGCTATTACTAACATGGCAGCTCACTATTACAAAGCACATATAATATTATTGTTGATAGACAAAGTACCAGAAAAATTATAATTTCACCCACCTTCCAAGCATTTTCAAGACTCTGGTCTGTATTCTCTGTGTTAACCTTCAGTGCAAGTGAACTGAGTAACTCTGCTTGTTGTGTTAAAGCAGTTACCTTTGGATCATCCTTCTTGATGAAGGTTCCTTCACTCTTGTTACCTTGAGCAGCTGCTTATGGTGGAGAAATGAAGGGATTAATCTCCTTATCATGAGCCCAAAAGTGAAACCAAATGATGCAACAACAAACAAAACATGCAAAGGAGTGACTAGTAGACTTGTTTCCATTGGCTGAATTTTAAAGGAAATGATATCCTCGTCTCTATGCTGTTTCTGAGTCTCAGATTCTAACGAGAAAGTTTAGAAGGTTGTTGAAGTGACTTACTAGTACTGAGACCTTCATTGGCATTGTTCAGGGGAAGTTGAGCTGCCAAATTGTCRACACTATGGACATTCTCAACCAGTACTGCAAATGGGGCTCTCAGCTGATGATCCATACATGGCTTTTTTGATCCATCTTCAAGTGAGCAACCTTCTGTAGTATCAGATATGTGTGCTCTCCTGAATGGTTAATTGCAGAACAATTAATCTTTTTCTGTGAAGCAACTACTCCGCATTTCTATTTAGACATCCTGTAAGCAAAATTTACCTCATTCTCTTAACCAGTTGAGGAGTTTCTGACGAAACACTATTACTCCCATTTTGAAATAGGACCCTTTTCTTGCTGTAGTTGATGAATGAACTTGAGTTCTCTTTTGCTAATGCTTCATATTTGGCTCTCTTTTTACACAGGGTGGTAAACCGGTTTTTCACTGCATTGTCCGTTCTGCACAATCAAAATCAGCATCTAAATGTTTGGTCAAAGTTGTGGTAAGATCCAACTGCAATAAGGGGAACTCGAAAGCTCTATACCTGCCTGACACCACCTTTGCTATCTCCGTCCATCTGTTTCCAAATATTTTCTGCGCCTGTCGAGAAGGTTAATTTATTAGATATAGGGGCATCCAATGACGTGGGAATGCTCAAAAGTTTCAACACATTGACCGTTTGGCTGCTTTTCTACTTTTAAGAGACAGCAGTGACTGCTAATACTTGCTAAACCAAGGCATTATAACATTATTTCACACAATTCAATATCACTCGTACAATCAAGAGATGTAATAAAATGACATTTACACTAGACTCTGAGCTTATATGACAGTAATTTCRGACAATATTTAAATCTAAAATCTGTATTATGGATTTTTGTGCTCTTACAAGTGGGGGGAATAATCACCTCGCATAGAAGTAAATCCTCTTCCGGAGACCATCCCCCTTTCTTAAAATCAGAATTCAAGTATGTGTACCATCTGAAACGTAATTCCCATAGGCCATCACATCAGTGAAACTCAATCAACCCAGAAGAAAACGAGAGCTGTTTCGATCAACTTGTTACCAATTACCACGGTTCTCATCATTTCAAATTACCTTCTTCTGCACTGTCTTGTTGTTTTATCCTTGAACTTCGATGCAATGATTGCCCAACTGCACCGTCGATTACATCAACAATCAATCACAGGCAGAGTAAAGAATAAATTAGATTAACGACGAAGAAGATAAATAAAACACAGAGACAATGACTGGGAGATCTTACTTTTCTGTTCCGTGTAGGCTAATCTGCTCCCGGAGAATATCATCCTCCTGAAACTCAAATAACCCATATCAGAAAACACAGCCAAAGGGTCTTCTAATAAACATCGGGAGCAATCTACAAAAATCGGAAAGAAGAAGGGGAAAAAAAAGTGAGACGGAGAGGGGAAAGAAATGGAGACCTGTTGAGTCCAGGAAACGATGTGTCGTTCCTTCTTCTTGGAATCATCGGTGGCGAGCTTCTTCTTGGTGTCCTGCATTTGGTTTATTAAATTACAATCAACTGTGTCTCTTAGGGCGCTCCTCCCCTTTATTGAACCCRAGTTGCATGCTAAAGGCAAGCCTTTCTATGGCATATAAAAAAAGGGGGATACGAAACTGCAAAGTCCCCAAAAAAGGAAAACTTCTCCCCTCCCCTTTCCTTTAATCTTTACGGATAGAGGACACTGTTGAGTTCAAAACGGAACAGCAATTTCAAGTCGAAAGATGATCCAGAAAGCTCTAAATCAAGCCCTATACAATATCGAAATTGCCTCGGATTCTGACCTTTTTCCCCACTCACCACTTTAATTCCTTCACCATATAGCTAGTGTCCGCGTTCAGACAAACAAAACCTCCATGGATTCCGAGGCAAAGGAACAGAGAGAAGAAATCATGAATCCAATCCAATCCGATCCCTCCCAATGAGAACAACTTCGAATTGAGGAGCCTGAAACAATCACCGTCCGTGATTGTATCACCGATAAAAACCAAGCCAAGCCAAACAACCGATGTAATCAATCTTCTTTTTCGAAATCCGAGAAACGGTGTTCTTATCTAAAAGAGATAATGATTAAGCAGAGGAAGGTAGATCTACGAATCGAAGAAATAAAACACATGTATTTGGAAATGGGGATTCTTCAGTATATTCGGAATTAGCTAGAAGTAGAGCCCTTCACTGTGAGTGAGAGGGCGATCTGTGTCTCTCTCTCTCTACAAGTAGAAGAAGATTCAAGATTGGTTTAAAAATCATTCTCTCTCTGTGGCGTATACAGATTGAAAATGAAAATGGAAATTAGTGTCACAGAACAGAAAAGAAACAACGGACTGTTGGTGAGTGCGCGGGTATGAAGGGAAGTTTGAAAAAGAACGCTGAATTCCATGTGGGGATGAGGATGGTGGAGTCGACTAAGCCCACATTTCACTGACAAACCCTATTTTTCTTTTTTCTTTTTTCTTTTCTTAATATTTATATAATATATATGTATGTATGATGTATGTATGATGTATGTATGTACATGCATGTGTCATGCATCTCAATAGTGAATATCATCATGCTTATTGGCCAGTTTCCTTCATTTCAAATCAAAATTTGAATAATATTCTYTCTTYCTTTCTTTTTTTTATTTATTTTTTATTTTTTGAAGGAGCATGATCACCTTCCTTCAAAGTCTCTTTTTTTATCTTTTTTTTTTGTTCTTTTTCCGATTCTACTTTTCTATATTTTATTCGTCCTTATTTTTGCTAATTAATTTTATTATATTAAAAAAGACAGATATATGGTTTAATATCATTATAGATGAAAATTTAACTTGAAGGATACTTTTTTCTCTCTCTGTTCTGATTGGCAGTTATCTACTTTATTCAATTTTTTAAAAATTTAAATCCATTTAAGAATGCTTTTGATGTGAAATACTAAGAAATTAAGTTCTATATTTTTAAGAAATAATTGGATATGACAAGTGACAACCGCAGATTTGTCAAGACTACTAAATGAAAATTGGATTTACTGCGCATGATTCCCTCCCTCCTACGAAATTATAACCACAAAAAGTACTAAGTATAAAGACAACAAAATACTCATACAATCTTCTGTTCTTACCTCCTTAGTGATTGGATTTGTTTCACGGGTTGACCAAAAATTTTAGGAATAAATGATATTTGATCATTTTCTAAATTAAGTTTTTCTAATTCTTTGTTAGCGTCACTCACACATGTAAAATTATGTTTTTTACTTTTTCCTTCTTTCTTAAAATCTCTCTTATTCTAGTTAAAGCGAACATAATTCATATATTTCGAACTACCACATATTGTGCTAAGGAAAATCTTTCTCATTCTCCTCTTGATCTTTTTTTGTTTTAGTTTTCTCCGATATGTTCCAAAAAAAAAAAAAAAATACTACGTGATTGGTTTAGAAGGCAATAATTTTAATATAAATTAAGAACTCATGGGTTAGAAAAAATTTGTATTATCGAAAAGAGATAACTGTAATGGTATCTTTTGAAGGAAAATTAAAATTAAAATGGGTTTTGAGTTAATAAGTTGATTTTTAAAAAATTACTAGTAAATCTAATTCCGATCCTATTTCAATTTGATCATTTAAAAAAATAGTTAAATATTCTATTTCTTTTATTTTAATGTTTTGGTGAAGTCATTCATCCCACTAGCATTTTTTTTTCAATTAAATTTCTTTTATTTTATTCTAATCAATTAAAAAACTTTATAAGAACCATTGACATTGAATCAAAAGATGACAATAGTGTCTCAATTGATACAAGAATTTTTAGATAAACAACACAATATTAGTATAATTTAAATCCTCCCACTTGAAAAAACAAAAGTTCCCATAAAATGAGGTGAATTACATATACCATATAAACTCTAGAAATTAAGTTGTAAATCACATGTTAAAATAATTATATTGCATATAAGCAATTAAGAATGGGATCATCATACCAACTAAAAAGGTAAAATTTTCTCTCTTTTTTCTGTTCATAGGAGAAATATGTGCTGTCAAAATTTAATATTTTTCAAAGTAGGAATGTAATATGGGTTGTGATAGAAGTAAATATCTCAAATAATTAATAAAGTAGTTGGCACATGATGTTTGTGAGAGCGAGAGTGCTCATTTAACAACTTTTTTTTTTCACTGCAAATTTATTTATTTTTTCTGTGTGTAAACAATTAATGAAAAATGTGAATTCATATTTCTAAATTTGAAATTTTGAAAATTTGAACCCACCACACTTGGAGGTAACGTGGTAGGTGACATTAATAGATGTGTGGCCATATATGACAAGTAATATGACTAAAAAGTATTTCTAAGGGAAAAAAAACTAAAAAGTAATTCCAATTATATATCAGCCAATCAATTTGAATCTATTATAAAAATATTTTAAAACCAAATTTGGTTTGGTAAGTTAAATCATCTATTACTTTAATAACTCACACCCTTGAGATATTTGACAATTTGATACGTCATTAACTTATACATCTTAATTTGGATATAGTGTGTTTACAAGGGTTAAAAGTAAATGGTAATGACTGGTCGTGGAAAACAAAATATTGAAATTGGGACGCAATTAATTTGATAATATTCTTGTTTTGTCATTTTGGTTCGAACTCACATCTTTTGGTAAAAAATGAGTCAAAATAGTTGGTAATTTAGAAATTTAAGTTTTGATAATTATTAATATTTCTAATTTATCTTTTTTTTTTTAAATATATTTCCAAAAACAGCCTCTAATTTTCTTTCGGTTACTTTTTTCCAATTTTTTAATAACATAAATAAAAACATTATTTATCACTTTTTTTTAAAATTACATAATAATTATTTTAAAATTAAATATAGCATTATATATATATTTTTTGATATTCTTATTTTTCAAAATTAATTTTTATGTAACATTGCTTTTGATTTAAATTTTAAGAAAACAAAAAGCTTATCAAATACATTCATATTTCTTTCTCCCCTAAAAAAGAAAGATCAAATAAACAAGAATAGTGAGCGTATATATATATTCCTTAAAAACGAGGAAACTAAAACCATTTGGTAAGATTTCTGTTTCTTTTTTTTTTATTTTAAATAAAGAACAATTTGCTAACTGTTTTTTGTTTCGTTTTTTTAAAGGATCGAAAACATGTATGTTTGATAAATACTTATTGTTTCTTGCCCTCTAAAATTTTAAATTTTAAAAAGTAAAAAGTAAAAATTATATATGAAAATTAATACTTGGATTTCTTATGGCACTTATGCTTTGTTTTTTAGTACAACATGTGGAGATGAGGATCGAACTCACGATCTCATGGTTGTACTATGCTCGTGCATGACATTTGTGTTTATCAAAAGAAACCCCACCAATTGGAATACTGTCGAGAGAGAAGTGACAGAAACCTAACTTAGTCCTTTGTATATATTTTTTTGATGTTTATACTTTATATATGTTGTAGCTGACTGGGCCTCACACAGCCGACCACTTCTTACAACTCAGTAGAAAATGGCCAAATAAACTGTGAAAGGAATAGTTTAGAAGTTGTTACGAGGAAGTTAAAGATATGATTTTATTATCCTTTAATTTGAAAATAATTTTTAAATGACGAGGTTGGTTGACAGTCTAATAATATTTTAACGACTTTTTTTTTTTTAATTCAACAGCCATGTAGAGTAGAGATTTTAACAAATCTATTATCTATAATAGTAGTTCACTTTAAATTGAACAAATTTATTACCCTTTAAATCATGTAGAGTGGGTGGATAATTAATTTTGTGAGTGACCTATCTAATTTATTAGGTTCAAATATGATACATATTTATAACTCAATTTACTAAATTGATATTGATAATACACTTGTTAGATCTTATGCTAATAATTAAGAAATGTACGATAATACACTTATATATTTTCAAAAAAAAAAAGAAATGTATTTTTCTAAACTTAAACATAGTTCAATCTTCAATGGTCAAGATATTAGAAACTTTGGTTGGCATGGTGGAGCTAATTGATTAAAACATTTCTTTACATGGAGGTGAGTCTTCTGTCCATTGTTGAATTTAATAAAGAAAAAAAGAATATAAGAAATTTCTTTTAAATGTTGTAAATTTAAAAATCTCCGCCCATACTTAAAATGTAATATTAAAAAAATATATTTTCTATAATATATTCTTATTGAGCTCTTCTGTAAAAATATAATCAAAGAGATAATTCCTATGTTATTTACAACTTAAAATTAATTTAAATGGAATGAAAGTTTTAGGATTTTGTTTTAGTTTTCTACTTTTAGAAATCGGATTTTTTTTAAATAATTATTTTTTAAAAACAAATGACAAATCTAGCGTAGGTTTTGCCCAAAATCGCAGGCGATGGCTGCGATCAACCCGTTTGTTTTTTTTTTGTTAAATTTGGGAGGGACAGCATGGCCACTTCCCCACTTCCTCTTTTATTTTTATTATTTATTATTTTATCTTTCCTGCAACTTCCGGCCACCGATATCCCTTTGTTTTTCTTAATTTTATTTTAAAAAACCATAATTTAAGAAAAATACTATCATCTTAATTTTCTCCATATTTGGAAAGTAGTTCTTAATTACCTACCACATGATGGACATATTCCTATAATGTAATAATTTAAAACAAAATAATTGTAAAACAAACAAAACCCTAATTATACATATCCCAAAATTTGGTTTTTGTTTTAAAGCCATGTATTTCGCAATGCAAATGACAAAACATGTGAGTTTCATGTAATTTATACCTTTACTTTTATGGTTTTATTAATTTAATAATTTTTT